TGAGAATAACGTTATTATCAAAAAAGAAAATTTTATGATTATAAGCAGTATAAATTAGAATATTTTTTAAAACTGTCATTTACGCTTAAACCAAAATATCATGTCTGTAATATATTACTCAGCATTAATAAGGAGTTTTACTTAATTTAGATTTGTGCAGACACAACATGCCTTTACCTTACATACATATTTAAAATCCATCTCTCTGACCTATATTTATCTGTCACCCCCCATACACCAACTGACACATATTCACAAACTTTCACACACTCACCAGTAGAATTTTGAAGAAGCAGGCTTGTTTTGTATTTATGAGGTTTATCTCCAGGTTTTAGGAAATAGAAGTCTGGAACAAGTTTGATGGGAACCACAGCCTTTTTAAGAGAGTAATGCACCAAAAACATAAAAATCTGAACTGCGAAAAAGATTAAAAGCAGAAGCAACCTGAAAGGAAAAAAATAATAATACAGCTCAAGGCACATTAATATGTAAATCTATTTTTAAAATCTTCCTTCACATGACAATTAAAAGGTACTCATTTTTTAAAAAGGAAAGAAAAAAAAATTGAAAAAAATCACACTTGGGAGTAGAATTTCTACTCTCCAAAATGATCTCATGACAATATTAGATGGAAAGCCAATATTCAATGACAAAATTAAAAGTTATGAAAGTAGGGCCGGCCGAGTGGCTCAGTTGGTTAAGAGCTCGCTCAAGAGTTTGAGCTCTGAGCAACAGGGGTTAAATTCCCGGGCTGAGCTGAGCTGCCGCTGAGCTGCCAACAGGTGGCAGGATGGCTCAGCTTAAAAAAAAAAAAAAGTGATGAAGTATATTTTAGATCAGAGTCACCCTGAAATTTTTAAAGGATAAACTTAAAGAACCAGACACTATGTCACATTTACATCTCTATTCTCCTGAAGAAACTATTTCCTGCCTACCTCTAAGAATAGAGGTATTATTTACTCTCCTTGTATTTTAGAAAATGTATGATTCAAAAATATTTTAGATACAAGGAAGAAAATAAAAATACAGTGAAACTTTGAATTTT